TTGCAAAGTTACAGGTATTAGAAGATCAGAATTTGTAACTCAGTTCCTTTCCTGTTATCTAACATATGTGAATTGTGTGCAGTAGAATAAAGAGCATATGGTATTTATCTTTTCAAACCTATGTTTACAAACTAACCTAATTTTATGACCATCCAGATATTGTTTCATCTTTCTATCTCTATATCTTTCTATCTTTCTATTTTTTCTATCTTTCTAGTTTTCTATCTATGTCTCTTTCAATCTTTCTATCTTTTTATTTTTTATCTTTCTAGCTTTCTAGCTTTCTTTCTTTCATATTTTCTTTCTTTCTATCTTTCTATTTCTCTACTTTCTATCATTCTATTTTTCCATCTTTCTATCATTCTATCTTTCTATCTTCCTATTAATATTTCAATATTTCAATATTTCTATATTTCAATATTTCAATATTTTATTATTTCTATATTTCAATATTTCTATATTGCAATATATTTCTATATTTCAATATTTCTATATTGCAATATTTCTATTTTTCAATATTTTTATATTGCAATATTTCTATTTTTCTTTATGTCTATATTTCTGTAATTCTATCTCTTTATCTTTCTTTCTTTCTTTCTATATTTCTCTATTTTTATATTTCAATATTTCTATACTTCTATATTTCTATATTTCTATATTTCTTTTCCTGAGTCTCTGGATTTCAATGGAAGAGGGGGGGAGGGGGGACTGCATTCACTAATCCAGATTATCAGTCAACACTAATGTAAACTATAAATACTTTAAATATACTCAGATACTCTACCAGAGCCGGGAATTCAAGAGATTATCGTTAAACGCAACTCCCTAGTTTCCTTTACGGGGTCTTATACATTTGTGAAGATTTTAAATTAAGAAATCAGATAGCAAAGAGAATGTGAAGAGAAATCATGAAATAATCTGTCTTAATAAGAATAATGGTATCTACGAAACTGCTTGACCCCATTCATAAAACCGTGTTTCCGAAACTGGGTTTCATCTCGATACTTTTTCTTAAGTTTTGGGCTCAGTTTGCTAATTTAAATCAAAATATGCTAAACCTCGGTTTTCTAGACTGGCCCTCAACAATTTAAATAAAATCATAAAATTAACATTTAAATCAATTCTAGGAGTTTACAAAATGTCCAGGTTTTGTAAATAGAAAAAAAAACATAACGAGACTAATTTTAGAAACGGAAAGCAGATGTTTAGTTCTGGAATTTAATTAGGCACATCCGTTACCAGTCTCTTAATTTAATAAACAATGAAACTCAGAAAGGTTTTGGTTTAAATTCCCGGATTTTCTAGAATTAGATGAGACAACACGGCTGACAGATCATCTGACATTTATTAATTCTTTTACCCCTAAAGTCTGACGCACAGACATACACCCTGGCAAACAAGTATTCGAAGACGGTTCTTATTTGAATATTTCATACTTTCATGCTTAATGCCTCCTCTAATTGTAATTTAAAGGGCATTGCTCGATTTACAACGGTACCCTTTGAACTTAATTGTGCATTTTTTAGATTTTCTTCTAGGATTAGCCTAATCAGAAAGTAAGAACTTGATAAAAAGAATATATGAGTTTGTTCTGTAAACAATGGTAAACATTCTAAACTCTCAACTGGAAAAAGATAAAGAAGTTTTTGGTCTAAAGACTTGGTAAACAAACCAAGAAACAATAATAGCATGGCATTTATCAAATCTTAAATTTCTAAAAATGCCGAGATGGAAAACAAGCAAACTGTAAATTAACTGTTCTTTTAAGTGCAGATTCTAGTTAAAAAATTGTTTCCGTTATTTGATTGCAACCTAATATTGCAGAACTTTAATTTTCAAACTATCATTTCTTATCTTAAGGATCACACCATCAGGTTGAAAAATTTTGAGAAAAGTAATCTGTTTCTTTAAAAGTTCTTTTTTTATCGATCAATACTTCACAATCCATACTTCAAGTTTAGGCTTTCAAAACTTTCTAAATCTTTCAAAAATGAAAGTCCTAAAATTATTGTTTTAATCTAAGGATATGAACAGGAACTAGATTTGAAAGATCAATAAAACTTTATTTTTGCAATTTCCTATTTCCTGTTTTCATCTTCCTTTCCAGTGTAGACTTCTCTGCAATTTGTGCGAATTTAAATTCAGTGCAAAAAATACTATATTGCATTTTCTGTCAACTGCAAAACCTCATATTTTGTCATAAGGTCCTACACCGCTGAGCACCATCTTATACAGACATTAACATTTATATTTGAAAACAAAATATCTTAGAAGTGTCTAGAACAATTTAAAGAAGATGCAAAGGCATTGTGCAAAAATATAGAATTCTTTTTAAGTTTAGGACTCTTTTTTAATTTAAGAATTTTCCGTTGATTCAATTTTAATTTCTAATATGGATTTCCCTCCAACTAAGTTCATCTTTAAACAAATCCTAAAAATATTCTCTCGACCCCCTCCTTCCTTTCTTGTTTTTTGCCCAGACCCCCCCCCCCC